CTACTGACTTTGTGATGATAGTTAATGCGGTAATCTTCAACATTTTTCAATTTGACATACTGGATCTGAACCATTTTCAGTATATTCAATTTTTTTAGCCTTACTCTAAACTACAATTTTTCAGCTGCAGTTAAATCATCTGCGTTCCAATTTGTACCCACTGTATGCATTTGAACATTTTCTGAAAATGTATTCTGCGCTGTTCATTCATGATCATTTCTTATACATACATAAGCATTTACTATCCAAAGTTGCATTTTAATGCCATTGATGTTTTTTCTACTAGATGGATCCAACCAGATTCCTATGTAGATCCAAAGCAGTGTGATATATTGTTTGACAAAGACAATATTAAGTGTAGCTGGCCTGCTGTTATAACATTACAAACAAGAGATCAGTATGCAGATCTTGTACATGTTCCCAATCTTAAAGTAAGTGTTTCTAACTAATGTCTACCAATTCATGATATGTGTTGTTGATAATGTAATGTACACATGTTCTTTTGTTTATGATTGTGTATTGTATCATATTCCATTGATCCCAAGGAACCATAATTTCATGATGTTTGATTCACTGGAAACGAACATGTCCAATTTGAGGATAGTCTCAGTTAACACATTCTCATGACAGGAATTTTCTGAAACTTTACTGAATTACTCTTTGTGTATTGCTGTTTTAAAATTTTCAAGAAAACACTTGGAAAACAAGTTTGTGAATTAGCAAAATATCAAGAATTTGTAGCACTATAATATTTTCTATTTTATTGTTTACTAACTAGTTCATCTGTATTCATCATTAACGCTATTTGAGACGTATTCCTGAAATAAAATACTAAGTACGAAACAACAGGGCTACACACACTGCTGTGCATTACTATTACCCTAATGCATTTGTAAACTTGTAATGTTAGGCATTCATACAACATATAAGAGTTTCTTAATTTTCTCAGGGCAACCCCTACTTAATGAGGACATAACAAGTTCATGCAAACATATGAGCTGTTGTTTCACTGTCAATTAAGTAAATTAGAAAATTTTTACTGTATTTGTATTTTCTCAGGTTGAAGCCAAAGCTGTGCCTGTGATCAGAAAAGATAACGCTGAGAGCAACACAAAATATCACAAATCTAAAGGGAAGTCTCTTGAAAAGGATATGACCTATGGTGGACACCCAACGCCGAAAATAGATACTCTGTATGAACCTACTGCCACAAACCATGTGAACTATATCTCTATCACCATGATGAAAGAATATGAAAACTATTCATTTGAGGAATTGAGAATTGCTTCACCTATTGTTAGAAGGTAAGCCTTAGACATAACAA